TGTAACTCATGCACTGTCGTGCTAGCCAGCTTCCTCTGAATCACCTGGCTAAGGACCCATTTTGAATCATTCTCACCATGCAAATCTCTGAAACTATTGGTCAAGCTCATAATCTCAATACGGAACTTCTCTAGACTTTGACGGTCATGTCGGCAAGCCTCTAGATCCAACAACCGATAAAGTATAGCTACCTTTATCTCCTCATGTTGCCAAACATGCTTCTAATTGGTCTTTGGCATGTTGGTAATTAGTGTCAGTAATCGGGTAGTGCCGGACCAGATCTAAGGCTTTACCCTTGATCTGCGACCGCAAATACTGCAACTTTACGGCATCTGACAAATCATTTCTGTCATCTATCTGGGCTCTAAACTGATCCCAGAAAGCAATGTACTGTTAAGGTTCCGTCAAACGTTGGTAAATTCAACTGGGGCAATCTGGGCAACACATTAACAGGCGTGCTGTTGTTCGTGTTCCTTGAAACATTTGCTGCCCCTGCTGTACTGGCCTTCAAAGTCTTTATTAACTGCCTGCAGAGTCTCATCTCTGCTTTACACTCTGCCCTTCGTTCGTCATAGTCTGTCTGTGCTACTTCGACCGTATATTCAGACTCACCTGTAGTATAGGCCTCTGTCTCATAAAGGATAAATGATCTCTCAAAGGCCTCCAGTCTTTGCACCAAAGTTCAGGCAACTCTCAGTTCCTCCCAGTCTACGTCCTGATCTTGCCTAGACCATACGACACTCCTCACATGCTTTGCTCAGGCGCCCTTATAGGCTCCCATAGACCGCTTTAATTGACTTAGAGCTGGACAGCTGGTACTGCATCTTCACCTACCATAGTTGCGGTTTAGTTAAGATCACGGTGCTAAATTTGTATTTCAATTAGCCCACCCCACAGCACAAACGGTATTAGGTGAGAAGAACGAGTCTTAAGGCTTCTCAACAAGCTTAACAATTCCCTTTGTCAAATTGACTACTATGAATCAAAAATGTACACTGCTAGCTCTCAAATCCCAATCAAAAATGTGTATCGATGTGAAAGCTTAATCTAGCAGTCAACTGTACAATGCCAGCAAATAATTACAGGACTTAACCTAGTCTCAGGTATAATTCACAAATCCCACATTAACATGAATCAAAGATGATGAAAATCACAATAAAAGTGCAGTATACAAATTAAAATCACTTGGTTAACACAAGTAAATTCAACAATTCAACTTGTGAAACAGTAAATAAATAATGTATGTAAACAGCTTGGCCTAACTGTGCCCAGCTTACTCTGTTTAGCGTGGATGGTTGGATAAGGTAAATCCTAACCTAGCTAGTGTGCTATAACTTAAACCTGGCTTTATAACTCCCTGTAAATAATAACTAGGTTAAATCTGTCCTAGCTACTATAACCTTTGTAAATATTGCACAAGCCTAGCCTAACTGTGGCTACCTTGCAAATCCACTGTAAGTAATTAACACACAAGTCTCCTACTCTGGATTACTTGTAATCACTGTAAATAATTAAATTCACAAGCTTCTCTAGCCTACCTGGCCTGCCTGTAAATTACTGCAAATAACAACTTCTGTGTATAGTCAGCTTGGCCTAGCCTCTGAGTAACTTTGACCTAGGTGTGCTAACTTAACCTAACTTTTTTAAACTGGTTCCTAACTGTGGCCTAGCTATGATAGCTTAACCTAACTCTGTAAAACTGGTTCTTAACTGTAGCCTAGCTATGATAGCTTAACCTAACTCTGTAAAACTGGTTCCTAACTGTGGCCTAGCTATGATAGCTTAACCTAGCTATTCCACATCCGGTTTTCGAAGGACCACTTTTGTGAAAATTTGTGTGGACTGCCTCCAAGTGAGTCGCCTACCCTGGCAAACTCTGTTGACACCGAGCTCTGAGGTGGGTACCTCAGCCTCACAAGTGGCTTATAGAACAGATTTTCACAAAGAAACTTTGCCCTGCATGCACGTATAAAGGACTAACTTACTTGGTGTTGCAGCATATATCCTGATCTTCAACTTCCTAAGCCTAGCTTTAGCCCCTTTGGACTTCCCCTTGGGAACCACGTGCAACCGGGAGCATTAATTCCTGCAATATTCAATCATTATTAGTGTCCTGCCTGCACCTCAGAAATTCCTATATCCAAGAGGGTATGTATCCCCTAGTATAACTATGCAGACTCAGACGCTAGCTTCAGACGGCTCTGAGATGCTGGTACTTACTGGGCATGCTCCCTCTCTGTAGCACGCCGAGCCCACAGTAACTCAACCCACAATCTCCTAAGACACTGGCCAGATCCTACGGGAAAAGGTGAATACTCGTCTTACTGTTATGGGCTGATGGAGGAGATCATCTACGGTACATCGAGGTCCTCTACCAGATTTCCCCAGGTCTCAGATGTGAAGACACGTGGGGGCGCCCGCCTGCTGTCATGGCACGTCTTGTCCAGTCGGTGTCTATCGAAAGAAGGACGCTATTCTGTCTTGTGACCTGCGCCTCTGCCATTCAAGCTAGGGTGCCAGTTCTCCCTTGCTAACTTATCCTAGTGTTTCTACATTAATCGGGCCTATTACTACCTATGTTAAGGTCTTAGGTCTACTCTATCAATTATCTACAGATGCCTTAGTAAACCTAAATATTAGTGTACTACCTGTAAAAACTACCTAACTCCTTCCTGAAGAGTAAATCTATAAATTAAATAAGCTACCAAACCGCCAACCAGAGAATGCCTGGTTTGGGAGGGTTTAAGGGCCGCTCGGCTCAGACGACCAGACGCCCATGCTGGATCTGAGTTGTGGAACTATTTGGACCAAATAAATTTCCACAGTAGTGTTGTCTGTGATTATGCCTGATTTTAAAGGGGATATTGTGTTTGTCTAGATGTGGTGATGTTGTCTATTAAGGAGATGCTTGTCTCAGAAATTCTTGTAGGTTTAGATATTGTTGGTAGCAACAGGCAGTTACTCATTGTGTTTGTGAATTCGGTTACTTGTGGGTCCTGGTCATGTAGTATGTTTATGTTGAAATCACCTGTTAGTAGTAGGTGGTCTTTATTCATGTGTGCATCAGTAATCATGTTTCCTTGTTTTTCACTAAAGTGATAAATGTTTGACTGTGGTACTCTGTAGATGTTTATAACTGTGAGGGTTTTTTGCAGGTCTTTTGATTAAAATTTGGCTATGATATATTCTCCATGTTCATCCCTTGTGCAAGATTTATTGATACATTCGAGTTGATATGAATAGTATATAGCTGTTCCTCCCCCTGGCTGGTCTGTTCTACAGTTGTGTATGACCATGTAGCCAGGAATGGTATAAACATCTGTAATATCAGGCTTAAGCCAGGTTTCTGTGAGAGAATTGGTCTATGTGATAAGTGTACACCATATAAAGAACATTTTGCAGCATGCAGTGTATGAGAAAAAACTGTAACCATGTTTTCTGGTTTAAAACAGTGACTTGGTAGTGTATTTCTGTATGTTTTTTTTATGGTTATATTCTGTGTTTCTTGGTTTCATTTGACAGAATGGAAGATACATTATAGAAACAAAGGTGATTTTTGATTGGTTTCAGGACTGAAAATAGCTTGAAATTGAGCAGAAATGTTCGATTTTTGCCGATGCTCAAGAGTAAACAAATCACGTCAAGCGTCCAATGTGTGTCAATAACTGGATCTAATGTGTTCACAAATGCACCGATATTATACAATTCTATTACAATGTTGGTGTGTGAATAAAAATTCTTTGCGAATGAAAAATCAAAAGGAATTCAAGTGTAAAGTTTGAAAACATAACTAATGAACAGAGGAAATTATATTTTAGTACCAGGAATGTTTGTAATGTTTATTCTGAAGCCTGTGTTCAAACAGGAATGTTTTGAAATATGTCTGAAATTGACTAAATTACCAGTTTCTAATCACCTTGTTGGGTAGTTGAAACAGATGTTGGGGCAATTTCTTGTGCTCAATCAATAAAATGGAAACATGCTAGAGAAATAGCTAAGAATTTGGTCAACTGGAACAATGTAATTGGCCTAAAAATAGGACTGAAAGTGGCCAAAATACTGATGCTTAAACATTGCTTATGCAGCAAAATTTATGTATGTGTAACTTCATCAATTTTCCATTAATGTTCATACTATTTGCTTTATTACCTCCAGAAAAAGATTCTCTATCATTTCATAAGAAAAATTTTTTTTTTTTAATTCTTGGGCACTGTGGACAAGTTTGGTGACAGTGAAAGGGCTAAACTAATGCACAAATATATATGAAGTAGGCGCTGTATACTTATTATATCCAGGTTCCTTTTATTTGTTAACTCTATTATGTAAACACTGAGAGTCCATCTCATGGACAGTGCTGGTAATGTCTGCTCTCTCAGGTTATATATAAACATTGTCTCCAGCATGCTCACATTTGAGCACAGATGATGCAAATTATATGAATACACTGTATATAATGACTGGCATGCACCAATCAACTAATTTAATCACAAAGATTTGAGATTCGTATGGGACACACATTTATGGACTATTGAGACAGACCATTGAGACATGACATGGGATGGGAAAGGAAGGGGAGAAAGTTAGGTCTCCCCCAACAAAAAAAAAATGGCCTGACCCACAGGCAGGCTGCCTGCAAGTCCACTAGATTGATGGGAAAACTCCCACAGCTCGTGGTGCTCCGAATTCTTCCCCCATTCATTCATTCATTCATTAGAGGTTTGCCGGTACTTCCGGCCCGGGTCTTCTCCATATGGTGACCCGGCTGTTTCTTCCCCCAGAAGTGGCATCATGCTAGTCAAATTTTATGGAGTACTCATCAAAAATACAGTGCAATGTTGCAACTGTGTAATAGCAAAAACATTTTAAGAGGATAACATGTAAATTGAGAGTGTATTGTAAATAAGTTAAGTACTACGTTTGTTATCATATTTAAGGTACCATGTTATCATGATTAATAATGTATAACATGAAAAATAAACTCATAGAAACTTTCAACTTACAGTTAACTTCTTTAGAGGAATTTCACCAGTAATTCTCTCAACTTTCTCCATGATGGTGGAACCAGAGTCTTCCAGGAGGATGGGGACAGCTGTGGCACCTGTCTCTGTGGTCATAATGTGCAGAGCCTTCTTGATACTCTCCTGCATCTGTTTCATAAATCAAATAAATATTAATGGTGAATGCCAGCAACAATCTGGATGTTAAAATCACTTGTTACCACTTTAACAAACAAACAATTGTTAAATGATCAAGTCCCATATTCTAAAATATCACTCACACCCTTCCTAGAATATCCCCTACACCTTTCTTAAACCCTTCTTAGGATATCCCCCGTATGCCTTCCTACACCCATTCCTAGAATATCCCTTACACCTTCCATCAACCCTTGCAAGGATATCCCCTACACCTTCCATTAACCCTTGCAAGGATATCCCCTACACCTTCCTTCAACCCTTGCAAGGATATCCCCTACACCTTCCATCAACCATTGCAAGGATATCCCCTACACCTTCCATCAACCCTTGCAAGGATATCCCCTACACCTTCCTTCAACCCTTGCAAGGATATCCCTTACACCTTCCATCAACCCTTGCAAGGATATCCCCTACACCTTCCATCAACCCTTGCAAGGATATCCCTACACCTTTCCTTCACCCTTGCAAGGATATCCCCTACACCTTCCATCAACCCTTGCAAGGATATCCCCTACACCTTCCTTCAACCCTTGCAAGGATATCCACTACACCTTCCTTCAACCCTTGCAAGGATATCCCCTACACCTTCCTTCAACCCTTGCAAGGATATCCCCTACACCTTCCTTCAACCCTTGCAAGGAAATCCTCTACACCTTCCTTCAACCCTTGCAAGGATATCCCCTACACCTTCCATCAACCCTTGCAAGGATATCCCCTACACCTTCCTTCAACCCTTGCAAGGATATCCACTACACCTTCCTTCAACCCTTGCAAGGATATCCCCTACACCTTCCTTCAACCCTTGCAAGGATATCCCCTACACCTTCCTTCAACCCTTGCAAGGATATCCCCTACACCTTCCTTCAACCCTTGCAAGGATATCCCCTACACCTTCCATCAACCCTTGCAAGGATATCCCCTACACCTTCCATCAACCTTGCAAGGATATCCCTACACCTTCCTTCAACCCTTGCAAGGATATCCCCTACACCTTCCATCAACCCTTGCAAGGATATCCCATACACCTTCCATCAACCTTTGCAAGGATATCCCCTACACCTTCCATCAACCCTTGCAAGGATATCCCCTACACCTTCCATCAACCCTGCAAGGATATCCCCTACACCTTCCTTCAACCCTTGCAAGGATATCCCCTACACCTTCCATCAACCCTTGCAAGGATATCCCCTACACCTTTTCCATCAACCCTTGCAAGGATATCCCCTACACCTTCCATCAACCCTTGCAAGGATATCCCCTACACCTTCCATCAACCCTTGCAAGGATATCTCCTACACCTTCCATCAACCCTTGCAAGGATATCCCCTACACCTTCCATCAACCTTTGCAAGGATATCCCCTACACCTTCCTTCAACCCTTGCAAGGATATCCCCTACACATTCCATCAACCCTTGCAAGGATATCCCCTACACCTTCCATCAACCCTTGCAAGGATATCCCCTACACCTTCCATCAACCTTTGCAAGGATATCCCCTACACCTTCCTTAAACCCCTTGCAAGGATATCCCCTACACATTCCATCAACCCTTGCAAGGTTTATCCCCTACACCTTCCATCAACCCTTGCAAGGATATCCCCTACACCTTCTTCAACCCTTGCAAGGATATCCCCTACACCTTCCATCAACCCTTGCAAGGATATCCCCTACACCTTCCATCAACCCTTGCAAGGATATCCCTACACCTTCCATCAACCCTTGCAAGGATATCCCCTACACCTTCCTTCAACCCTTGCAAGGATATCCCCTACACCTTCCATCAACCTTGCAAGGATATCCCCTACACCTTCCATCAACCCTTGAAAAGGATATCCCCTAACACCTTCCTTCAACCCTTGCAAGGATATCCCTACACCTTCCATCAACCCTTGCAAGGATATCCCCTAAAACCTTCCATCAACCCTTGCAAGGATATCCCCTACACCTTCCATCAACCATTGCAAGGATATCCCCTACACCTTCCTTCAACCCTTGCAAGGATATCCGCTACACCTTCCATAAAACCCTTGCAAGGATATCCCCTACACCTTCCATCAACCCTTGCAAGGATATCCCCTACACCTTCCATCAACCCTTGCAAGGATATCCCCTTACACCTTCCATCAACCCTTGCAAGGATATCCCCTACACCTTCCTTCAACCCTTGCAAGGATATCCCCTACACCTTCCTTCAACCCTTGCAAGGATATCCCTACACCTTCCATCAACCCTTGCAAGGATATTCCCTACACCTTCCTTCAACCCTTGCAAGGATATTCCCTACACCTTCCTTCAACCTTGCAAGGATATCCCCCTACACCTTCCATCAACCCTGCAAGGATATCCCCTACACCTTCCATCAACCCTTGCAAGGATATCCCCTACACCTTCCTACAACCTTGCAAGGATATCCCCTACACCTTCCTTCAACCTTCAAGTATCCCCTACACCTTCCATCAACCCTTGCAAGGATATTCCCTACACCTTCCTTCAACCTTGCAAGGATATTCCCTACACCTTCCTTCAACCCTTGCAAGGATATCCCCTACACCTTCCATCAACCCTTGCAAGGATATCCCTACACCTTCCTTCAACCCTTGCAAGGATACCCCCTACACCTTCCTTCAAACACCTTGCAAGGATATCCCCTACACCTTCCTTCAACCCTTGCAAGGATATCCCCTACACCTTCCTTCAACCCTTGCAAGGATATCCCCTACGCCTTCCATCAACCCTTGCAAGGATATCCCCTACACCTTCCATCAACCCTTGCAAGGATATCCCCTACACCTTCCTTCAACCCTTGCAAGGATATCCCCTACACCTTCCTTCAACCCTTGCAAGGATATCCCCTACACCTTCCTTCAACCCTTGCAAGGATATCCCCTACGCCTTCCATCAACCCTTGCAAGGATATCCCCTACACCTTCCATCAACCCTTGCAAGGATATCCCCTACACCTTCCTTCAACCCTTGCAAGGATATCCCCTACACCTTCCATCAACCCTTGCAAGGATATCCCCTACACCTTCCTTCAACCCTTGCAAGGATATCCCCTACACCTTCCTTCAACCCTTGCAAGGATATCCCCTACACCTTCCATCAACCCTTGCAAGGATATCCCCTACACCTCCTTCAACCCTAGATTTACCTATTTTACTCCACATTTTCTAAGTAACGAAACCCCAACCATCCTTCTACTGCTTCTTAAATTATGCTTTCATATTACATCTTCTAAATATTATTAAAGATAAAGATAAAGATTTTTATTTCTTTGTAAAGTGTACAATATGTAATTACAATTTTGGTTTGCCAAGTACAAAGAAAGCTACTTACATGTCGGGGCATTTCGAGCAGATTAATCCTAGCACATACTAACTGCTTAAGTCTGGACAAGATAGAATGCTTAACTTTTATTAACCCTTAAACTGTCCAAATGTAGATCTAAGTTCACGTGCAGGAGGCTCCGAACGTACATCTACAATTTTTTACATGCTTTCAAATGGGGAAAATAAAGGTTGGCGCGCTATGCACATGAACGTAGATCTACATTTCGACAGTTTAAGGGTTAATATTTTTATTGAATCTTACTACTAATGCGAGGTAGTCAAGGTGGAGGTTTATAAGAATAATAATCTTGAAGTTGCACATAATAAAATCAATACAGAAGGGCCCCGCTTTTCAGCGTTTCACCTTACGGTGTTCCGCTAATACAGCGATCTTAAATTATGACGAAAACTTTCTATAAGGCAAGTGGTCTTTCAAATACAGTGCGTGCCACCCGGTTTGTTTACATTTTCCATGAGCACATCTCTCTATTATGTAATAATAATCACTCTTGGGCACATCACTAATCCATACACGATATTTTCTTCAAATATTATATAAGAAGCACATTACATAACATAGAAACATGCTGTTTATATGTCATGGAGGTGTGGTTGCTGGGTGGAGGGAGAACATTATGTAATACTAATAATACTCAATCTTGGGAACATTAAATGTTTTATTTTACATTAATATAGGCATTTTCATTAAACCAAAATTATATAAGAAACACGTTACATAACATATAAAAAGTTTATGTTTATGTACTAAGTGTGGTAGCCGGGCAGCGGGAAAACATTACGTCACCCCTCAGTACATAAAGCTTTTGTTTACAATTCTCGGCATGAATTATTCATTACTTCTCCCTTTGTTATGATGGCATCTGTGGAAAATACTGTTATATATTTTCCAGAAATACAGTAGTTATATGTAAATAGATGGCCATACTGTATTTAATAAAAATTATGTTATGAAAAAATGGGAAGCTGCGCCTGCGCAGACAATAGTCGCCATTGTGTTTTGAATGAGCCAAGAAAACGTTAGTGTAATGGGAAGAGTTTTTCGTGCTCTAGAGGTAAAATTGGGCTGACACCTCTCAAATAGGAGGCGAAATTGTTGGATGTGTATTCCTGCATAACTTGAGATATCAGGCGACTGGACAAGACAGCTCCAGGAACCTCAGATAAGTCTGTGATGTTTTAACTCTGGCCAGTGTTATTTTCATGTATAGACTGAGGTTTTCTGAGTATGATACACCTTGATCTCCAGTCAAATTGGTGAGTGAGTTTAAGATATTCTCCTTCTGTTATGAATATGTGTGTATATATAATAATTTTTTAAAATTTTTAAAATACATTCCACAAATTTATAATTTACCCGCAATCATGGTGATACATATTTCATTTGTAATTAATAGGTCCAGAGCAACTTGTGGATATGACAGTGGTAGGTATCGAAGGGGGACATTTTTGCGACCTAGGTGTCCCAAATTCCTACTTGTCTAACTGATAAATAATAATTATCTTTGTTCATTTATTGTTATGTAAATAATGATATATCAAAGAAAATGCAATTTTCCACATTTAATTTGCCCGTTGGTCCTTCTTGAACCGGAGGTAAT